CAGATTTAATAAATGGAGCACTGAGGGTTTTCTAAGGCAGGGAGAACAATGTGTATGATACTATAATGGTGGATATATGTCGTCGTACATTTGTCCATACCCATGTAATGCACAAGACCAAGAGTGAACTCTAAAGTAAACTATGGACTTTGAATAATGATGATGGACCAATGTGGAATGATCAGTAGTAACATGAACCACACTGGTGGGTGATGTTGACAATGGGGGAGGCTATGCACATGTGGGGGCAGGTGATGTATGGTCAATCTACACACCTTTCCCTCAATTTCCTGTGAACGTAAAACATCTTTAAAGAATAAAGTCTATATTTTTTTCAAAAGTGACTAAAGAAAACTACAAAACTGTTTCAATCTCTTATGTATCCAACAAAAGCTTACCAAGGCACTAGGCTGTTCTGATAGGTGGCCTAACACTAAAACCAATACATTTACCTCTGCGGTGGAGATAATTAAGCATGTTTAACAGAGTTTATGCCAAAACGGTGGAAACTCATAAATGGCTTCAGCCTTTGTCTATTAATATAGCCTTCAAAAATTAGTGGTAAACTGAGAGGGTTGTTAAGTTTTTAAAATAATAACTAATTAATCATACTTCTTGGCATACAAAGCTGTGCCAAGATTTATGTTGCCTTGCAAAGATATGCTGTATGGAAAGGGGGCAGGGAGTGAGGCAACTGTTTGCGCTAGCATTGCTGCAGAGCAGGCACCTTAATTGTTATGTTTAATTTTTTTTCTCCTTTTAAAAGATTCTAGATCCCTGGGAGAGTCTGGAAAGACACATTCCTTTCCAGAAATTCATCAAGAACCTAATAAAATATGCCATTGTTTTTAGATAGCTTCCAGACAAATAGAAACAGTCCTTCTCCAGAAAGCCCTTCAGCAAATCGGGGAGACATTTTCATAGCCTGGGATAACATTGCCATGAAATGTATGAGACTCAGTGGGAAAAATCGCAATTCGTATAGAAGCTCCCAAGATACAAAAGCAAAGGAGATGCCCAGGCTGTTACAGAGATGCAAATGTGAAAATCTTGCTGCTCATGCTAAAGACTCCAATCTGAATAGTGCTGGTCCCTGAGCAACAGCTGCAGGAAATGTGCAGTTAGCAGAACCTCAGCCTCTTTTCTAGAGCAAACCAAGGGGATTTAAATCATTCGCCACTCCAGGCCTAATTATCAGTGGAAACAGAGAAAAAAAGCATAATGAATGGCTAAGTTTTTTCTAGTTGGCTTGCCCTGAATATTTTGAACACCTTCCGCGTATTCACTTACCCAATTAGAGCTGACACAGCATTGGTTACACTCAAAGTATTTGGAACCAGACAGCCAGGGTCCAACTCTGCTTCATCACTTAATGTGTGACCTTGTGCTAACTATGTAACCACCCACCTCCATTTCTTCACTTTTTACATAAGGAAAATAACTATATCTAATTCACATATTTATTTTATATAATAAGTAAAATGACCCAATATTAATTCATGGAAAAGTCTTACCATTAGTAAACTCTGCGCACATTCAAAATATACTATTTGTCACACTATTATGGTTTTTCATTAATATAGCAATTTAATAAACTGTCATTTAGTGCCAAGTATGTGTCAGATACTGTGTTCCAGACATGAGATGTAAAAGTGTAGTTTCTACCTTCTATCAGAAGTTCCCACTTCTGATAGATAAGGCACCGTTACAATAAGACAGATCTGATTCAGACATTGCTCTGCTTCCGATTTTTTGCTTCCTAGTTCCCTGAGGAATCTGGCCTTGCAGCCCCTCTGGCCCTATCCTGAGAGCAGTGTCTTTCCACCTTCGCTGCTTCAACTTTGCTGAACTTACCTTCAGTTCTCTGAATATGGCACGCTCTGAGCCTTGTCTCAATCTGTTCATCGTGGTAGTACTAAGGTGTTTATTGATTCCTTGGTTCTGCCCCAAATGTAACTCAAAAGAGATTTTACTGACATAAAATTTACATTTGTATAACAATTAAAATAGTTTTTCCTAAGTTTTCTGATTTCAAAACTGAAGATACATTAATGTAAATTGAATGTTGTAGGGGTTTTTTTGCTTTTTGTTTTGTTTTTGTGTTTGTTTTCACTTGCCCTGCTCCATGGTTTCCCAATACTGTGCTGAGTTAGCTTGTGGGACGAAACACCACAGTTGCTCCCTGTGCCTAAAACATTTTCTTGACCTTCTAACTGTTCACAATACTGTCTACTCTCCTCCCCTCCTCCCTAGTTCCCCTGGAAATAGTTTCACACTATTTGTTTCTATATAACAGATTTTTGCAAAGCAATGTAGTTCTTGGCACAGCTCTTTATGCCAAGAAGTATGCTTAATTCGTTATTTTTTATTTACTTAGATCTCCTTTTAGCAATTATATTTGATTAGCTTCCCTTGACCACCTGGGGCTAGGTTGTCCCAACACCTATGCAATCTATATGAATTCTTCCCAAACATGATTGTCACAAGAGTCCCTTAGGTATCTTCCAAAAATGCAGACTATGATTCAGTACATCAAATATATTGCATATCTAACAAGCATTCAGGTGATACCTATGCTACTAGTCCTTCAATAGCAAAGATCTCTACTAATTCCCATTTTAGAGTAACTATAACACAGTATTGTAATTTCTCATATACTTAACCATGTCCTCCACTAGACTTTGTATACATGGGGCAATGTCTATTGCATTCACTGTTATAACCTCAGATCTTGTTTAATAACAGATATATGGTATGCATACAATATTTTTGGAATAATGAATAAAGAATGCTTATGGAAGCATTACAAGATGTAGTAGGAGCAGAGAGGAATTAGATAAATAGGAATAATAAGAATAGCCAGAGAAGTTAAATGAGAGAGGTAAGAATGAGATACATTTCCTTGTCCACTAAAATCGAATGGTTGGTGTTGGCCAAACCAACAGGATAGAAGAACTGCTAATAATTTCACATGGCTGGGTCCAGGAGGAGAGGAAAATGAGACTTTCATCAGACCCTGGAGGGTCAGTAGAAGTTGTAGGACCCTGATATTTTTTATAAATAGTGGCCTAAACAGGACAATCATTAATGCAGTGACCATTTTTTGTTATTGTTTGCTTACTTTAGATTTATTTCTACAATTTGAGTACATTAACCCTAGATTACCTGATATGCCTCGGGGCTCTTGCTCCTGTCTCATACTTTCTCTTTCTTTCAGAACTTGCACTATGCATTGCCCTATAAGACTCTTAGCCCTGATTTCTGCTGTTCCACTTCCTCATTCAGCATGACTATCCATATAAACTGCTACATGCATGAATTTTAAAGATTGAATACCATTTTATGACTAGATATAACATTTTATTTTTATGTCGCTGAGAATTTCTGTTACCTATAGTTTTGACTACTGTGAACAATGCTGCAATTGATGTTTCCTTCTGTAAAACATAGTCTGCACTTCTGATAAATTGCTTTGAATGAATTTTTAGAAGTAGATTATAGGCATGCTGAGGCAATATACTGGAAAATTCACCTCCAGGAAGTTCACACAAACTTCATAAAATACTGCTTAGTCCACTATAACACAGAAACACAATATTGTGTATTATGTTTTAAAAAGTGTTTGTTGATTTGACAGGCAAAATATTTCACTATTAACGGTAGTGAAATATTGATAATAAATAACACTTATTGCAAGTTCCTATGGCACAGTTTTCTTGTTTCTAATTCTGCTCTTTCTTTTTGTATTAACAAGTTTGGAAAACATAAATATGAAGGCAAATGATGTCACAGACTGGCATGTTTCCATGGTTGAATGGTATTGGTTTTGACAACTGCACATTTCTGTTGCTATGTAATTTTATTGAGGGACATTTCGCTCATACTTTAGAAGGTTGAATCAAATTACCAGTGACTCTTTCACTGGGCTGGGTGGAGAGTAGGTCGGTGAGAAGAGCCCTGCTTTGAAAGCCTGTGTACCAGTGTCAGTCAGCGCCATTCCAGTGTGCACACCATTTCCACGTGCTCCAACCAAGGCACAGAGTGCGCATGATACTCCTGCAGCACTATTGCTCTGAGAAAAAAGTCACATTCTTTTGGCCAGGGTAAATATAAATGTGATCCCTTCTAAGTTATGTCTGAGACTAATGGGAATTGAGTCACTGCCCTAGAATTTTCCCAGCCTGGTAGAGAAACTGTTTTCAAAAGTCTCGAGTAGTTCATCGTAAGCAGACACAACAGAACAAACTTTCGTATGTCAAATATAAGCTTACACAAGTGACAACGTCTTAACATTTTGTCTGGCACACAACATGCACATGTGCGATCAAGTTTAGAATGACTTAAACTGGAATTAATGGAAAAATAGTTATGTGAAAATTCTCTAAGAAATTAATTTTAAAAACCAAAAGGGTCCCCAAATATCCCAAGCTTTGAATATTGGTTGTGCCACTTATTAACTGAGAGACCTAAATAATTACTTAAACTATTTAATCCTTGGTAACAGCATAAACCAAAGTAATAATAGATTCTTCTACCAAATTTATTATCTTGTAGTTATGTGGGTTAGAAGTCTGAAATGAGTCTCACAGAGCTAAAATCACAGCATCAGCAGGGCTGCATTCCTTTCCATAGGGCCTGGGAAAGAATTAAAACTCTTCTGTTTTCTCCTTCTAGTTGCTAGCCACATTTCTTGGCTTGTGATCTCTTTCTGTCATCTTCAAAGCCAACAACAGTGGAGCAAGCTCTTTGTATAGTGCCATCTTTCTAGTTCTCTATTTTTAAGAACTCACGTGCTTAGATTAGACCCACCCAGATAATCCAGGATAATGTCCCCATCTGGGTCTTCAACTTGAAACATATCTGCAAACTTCTTTCTTCCATGTAAAGGTAGCATATTTACAGGTTCCAGCCATTAGGACATCATGGGTCATTATTTTTTCTACCACAAAAAAAATTGATATAAAATCTTAGACACAGAATGCATAATAAAATGGTTTTTGGGGAGGAAGCATGAACACAGCCCCCACTACCACAAATTATGCAGTCGAGTTTCCCACATTTGGGGAAATGAGCAGGGCTCAGCACATCCAGAGTGCAACAGATAAGCCTGACCCTGGGAAATCCACCTTCATGATCATGGTATCTCCCCTGCTAGATAAGTATTATTGTTATTTTTTGTTACATTATAAAGAATAAAATATTTCAGGCCAATGCATTTACTGTTGGTGAAACAGACTGGATGGTAGCGAGAGATAAGCCCAGAAGCAGGGAGAATAGTTAAGAAACTGCTGAAATTACCCAAGTGGGAGACACTTGTGCCTTGGTATGTTTGGAGGTGATAGAGAGTATTAAATTCTGGTAATATTTTCAAAGATATTGGCAAAATTTGCAGGTTTGTATGCAGAGCGTAGGAGACAGAAATCAAGGATAACTTTTATGCTCAGCATGGTCCAGAAACGGTGGGGATATCTGAGGATCCAAAGGGGCCATAAGGCTACATCAATCTGTGGGAGCTGTTTGTTTACTAGAGACTAAAGAGGGCAGTAGTTACTTCACCTCAGTTGACATTACTGGCCAGATCCATCACCCACCTACCTAAATTCTGTGATATAATGCACAACCCTCAATATCTGAACACAAGTGGGAAAAATCCCAAATTATTGTGATTAGTTTTTTTCCATCTAGTGGGCTGCATTCTAAAATAGAAAATAGACTGAATTATGAAAAAGTAAAACTCTATTTCTGCACACCTAACTTGCAGACTGAGATTTCCTTACTATATTCATCAAGCATTTAGTTCACCCCTCAAAGATCACCTTATCAATTGTCGTCAACACTGATGACTACTGGTTAATCTGTTTTCTAGGCTAAACTAGAGACCCTGGGCAGTAAGAACTACATTGTATTCTTTTTTAAATCCTCAGCATGATGTTTGGAATATAAGGGCACTCTTATGAAATATGTACTAGATACATGTGAGGATAAGTCAATTGTTTTTTTTCTGCTTAGAAAGAGAGGACACTAGAAAGTCCAGGTAGCTTAATAAAATATGACTCTTGTGAGTAACCATAGATGCTAAAGCATTAGGGAGTAAAGTCTGATTTACATTTGCAAAGGCAGATGCCTTTTAGCAATCTGGTATAAAATTTCATCTTAAAAATTCCTCCTCAGAGTGGCTGTTAATTGGCATGAGGTTGCTTGGAATGACAAGAATTTTCTAAAATTAGACAGTGATGATGTTATTGCAAAAGTCTGTGGGTTTACAAAGACCTATTGAATTGTACTTTAAAATCGGGTAAATTTTAAGGTATATGAATCATATCTCAAAACTGTTTTTACAAAGAGCCCTTCCATAAAAGGGCACAAGGACAATAAAGTATATATCAGCCTCTAAAACACATTGCCACAATAACTAACTCCATAAAGGAACAGATATAAAAAGACTTGTATGAGGGAAAAAGAAGTCTTCTGGGAGCATCCAGACACTGGAGACAGAACAAGTTACACCACCAGCAGGAACTGGTCTCTCAGCTTCATCACTGTCTCTATGAGGCTGGAACAAGTCCCCTTATAAGCTCCAATCTCCCTTGGAACCTACAGCCTCCTCAGCCTTCTAAGTCAACCTAAGAGGAACAGACAGAACTGCTGTATGGGATCTGTAAGTAAATCTGTTTTGTTCAATGAAAACACTTGACTCTGGATGAACTGAGGCTTCTTATCCACAGGACAGAATTTCCTCATGCTGTACAAAATCAGGTTAGAGAGTGAGGTGGTAGACTGAGGTGGATGGAAAAATTAGTAGAATTATTTATTCTCAGGAAATCTATATTTCATTCTGTCTGGTGTAGGTTGGATAGCTGGTTGTTTGTTAATCAAATGACTTGATCATTGTGCTAATATATTTATGGTGTTTAGTGGTTTGGTCCTTGAGAAAACCAAAGAGGTTGTCAGGGGCTTAAAAATCTCATTTCTAAGCTCAATGTTTCTTAATAAAAATGAAAAAATACCAGTTTGAATACCTACTGCATGCCAGGTACTGTATTAGGCATATTATACCTCATAGATGATGAAACTGGATCAAAAAAGTTTATATTACTTGCAAGTGAAATAGTTCTTAAAATCATAAGCCTTGGAATTTTGAAGAACTGGGTTTGGAATCTCAGCTCAGACATTCCCTAGTTGTGTGTGACACTTTGTATGTTCCATAATCTCTCTGATACTCAGTCTCTTTAGCAGAAAAGACAATTTAAAGTGAATTTAATAATATTTGCCACATGATATTGTACTAAGAATTAAAAGTATATGTTTGTAACATGCTCAGCACAGTAATAGTCACAGAACAAGTTCCAGTAAGTGGCAGCTATTATTGTTATGATTAATATTTTTATTAGCATTGCTGTGCAAAGTCTCAAAACTAGTTAGTGTTTTGAGTTAGTGCAAGGATCCAAACCCAGGTCAGTCACACACATTGACAATGGCTTGGACAGTAGTGATAATGACATATGATCTACTTCAGCAGTTAAAGACATAAACACAAGCTGCAGCTCACAACAGTGCAAGAATGAAGAAAATAATTGTGATCTAAGTGCACAGGAAAATTAGTTGAAGGACTATAGCTTATTTTTCACAAGAGAAAAGGAAGGTTGTACATGGATTGGATGAATTAAGTGAATTGGGTGAATTCATTCATCCAATTGGACGAATTAGATGAATTAAACAGGCTTGAGGGAAATGGCAACCCAAAACAGTAGCTCAGGGGAATTGTATCGCTTCCTCCTAATCATATCCATTAGTCTTTTTTTATTCTTTGATGTAAACAGTAACATTCCTTCAAAGTAAGAAAGTGCAATGAAATACACCTTCAAGCACCCACTACCAACTATATTGCTGTTACTTTGACTTCATATGTGGACCACCTGATGCTCTAGTTTTTGACATTTCACAAGTAGAATCCATACAAAATGTAATTGTATATTTGTATATAGGTGATGAGAGAGAGGGAAAAGAATGGTTGTATAGGACATCTGTGTGTGTGAGGGTGGTAATGCTAATTAGATGATTTGCTAGAGTTTGATGTCATTTACTAATAAATAAAGCGTAGGAGAGGGAGTGAAGTTGGAATGGGGAAAGGAACACACTGGATTTGACTCACACTGAGGTTGGGTTATCTGAGGGATTGTGAGTGAAGATGTCCCTCAAGAGGAGACAAAATTTATTTACCTTTTATTCACCAGCATCCATCAGTGACCTTTGATTTTTTTCCTGCTTCGAATTATTTTTTTCTAAATTGTTGATGTGATCTCCTCGCTCTAGTTCCACAATTTGTTACTGCCTTCAAGTTTGAAACTTTGCCACAGCTTTAAAAATTCTATCATCTTTTGAAATATAGAGCTCAGAGAGTCCACGATTAGATTTCAGTATTGCAAATCATCTTGATATAAATGCTATTTAATGTCATGGAAATAACTAAGATATTCCAAGAAAAGTGTACTATCTCAGACAGCAAGAAAAGAAAAGGGACTTCTTGGGGGTGGGGGGGGGGTGAAAGACTCCTAAAGAATACCATACTTAGAAGACACAGAACAAAAATATTGTTTGGTAAATGAGGACAGGGAAACCCACAGAGTAACTGTCATTGAAGGTAAGGAAGGAAAAAGTTTCAAAGAGGAAGTGGGAAACACGAGAAGAAAATTGAGATGAAGAGAAGAAAAACAAACCTGAAAATAAACTTTTAGATTTGGTATTTAGAAACTCATTAGCGACATCAGTTGGAGAATTTTCTTTGAGCCACTGGAGAAAGATTCCAGATTGTTAGTGAAGGTGAAATAAAAATAAACAAAAGCAGATTGTCCAAAGAACATTTTTTTCATAAAACATATGGCACGAAATGGAGAGAGAAACAAGGTTTATGTCTTACCACCCTCACTGACTAAGCACAATGGCCAATCATAATATATAGTTGATATATCTTGGTTAAATTGGGTGTGTGTTGAAAACATCTACAGAAAAGTGTGGGAAGCTTTCATTATTGGGTTGGGATAAAACTTGAATTTTGTAGAATGCTAAACAAAAATTAGTAGCACAAAATAAGGTATTAAAAAGGAAAGGAATTTTGTTGTGGTTAAATTAGAAGAGACAGAAAATGATTTGTTTACTTATAAAATAGTTGAAAATGCCTGGCTCTTGATGCTTTGCAACTAAAATCTAAGTTCCTTATTCTTCCATGAATGCAAGAGTTTCATGTCCTGGCCCCCCAGGGTCCTTCAGCTTCACATGTAAGGGTCAGCATGGCAATTCTCTTACATTTTCTTGTTTCCCTCAGTTTCTGCTCATGTCTTTTTATCTATGTCAAAAACTCTCTCTCCTGCTTTTCATCCTCATGAACTTACTGTATTCATCAAAACTTTTCAGGGATGGTTATTTATTTTTATTTTATTGCTGTTCAAGTACAGTCATCTGCATTTTCTCCCCACCACTCTGCCTCAGCCATCCCCACCTCCCTCCCCTGATCTCAGCCCCTCTTGGTTTTGTCCATGTGTCCTTTATAGTCGTTACTGAAAACCCTTCCTCCTCCCCCCCCCATTCTTCCCCTTCCATTTTCCCTCTGCTTACTGTCAGTTAGTTCTTAATTTAAATGTCTCTGGTTATATTTTGCTTGCTTGTTTTTTTGTTGATTAGGTTCCATTTAAAGGTGAGATCATATGGTATTCGTCTTTCACCACCTGGCTTATTTCATTTAGCATAATGCTCTCCAGTTCTATCCATGCCATCATCACAAAGGATAGGAGCTCCTTCTTTTTGCTGCATAGTATTCCATTGTATAAATGTACCACAGTTTATTGATCCACTCATTTAGCGATGGACACTTAGGTTGCTTCCAGCATTTGGCTATTGTAAATTGTGCTGCTATAAACATAGGGGTGCATAGGTTCTTCTGGATTGGTGTTTCAGGGTTCTTGGGGTATAATCCTGGCAAATGGAATTGCCAGGTCAAAAGGCAGTTCCATTTTTAGCTATTCATCAAAAGTTTACACAGTTATAGTTTATGTACTCTGTTAAGATTTCTTGGAACTAATAATTCTTGAAGACTTACAGACACATTCTTGTATACACAGACTCAGTATCTGTCACTTCACAATATTTCTCTGTCTTATTGCTTAGAA